TACTATTTTGCCATTATATGCTTCTACTATTTTGCCATTATATGCTTCGAATAATAAAAATACTCCCGTGGCGTGCTGAGCGAAACGTGTGATTTCGGCGTGGCAGTCAAAGTGAGAAGGATGAACGTTACGTTAACGTAACGTTCGATTTATCGAACGACCTGTTAAAAAAATCTGAGAAAAATGTAAAAAATATGAAACGTATCTACGTCGTAAAAATATTGAAACAAAGGACTTTGAATTAGCAACGAAAGGAGAAAGGTGATGGAAAAATCATGGAGGCAATCGATTTACATCGGCGAAGAAGCCGTTTATTATGTTACAGTCGCGTGATTCCATTCGACTCCCACGAGTCCCCGGCGTATCCCAGTCTGAAGAAGTATACTTTGAAAGTTTACAACAAGTGTTCCCTCTTCGAAATCTCACATCTAAGGTGCTAAGATATCTACAGTGATATAATTCTTCTTACACGACTATACACGCATTCGGCCGGGTCGTTCGTCAATTTCTTTCTTACGTTTCTTTATTTTATTCTTCGTTATCGACGACGATTATCGATGAAACAATCGTTTCGTTATTACCGTTTAACATTATCGACCCGTCTTTTTTTCTTGTTCTTCTCTCTCTTTATATATGTACACGAAATAACCTTTATTGCTACTTTACAAGATCTCTGTGTGGTCGGACACGCGAATATTTTCGCACGTGTGTCACTCTCTTCCGTTTCCTACACCTTTTACGCCACCATTTTATGTATGTAGTAGTATATATGTATGTGTATGCCGAGATGTATCAGCAGTGTGGACTGTGTCAAGCGCAATATATCAATTGGAAGTACGCGAACAGTGGGAAAAGTTTGAAATTCAGTGTCGCGTAATCAATTTGTCTTCTTTTCTTCCGCTCTCTTCCTTTTTCTGCGATCACTGTAACTCCACCGAAAGGAAAGAAAGATTCTTTTTTTCTTTTCAATACGTAGGAAGATTCTAAATTTATATTCGATCGTTAGACTACGTTCGAATGAAACATTCTCTTTTCTTCTTTTTTCTTTTTTTTTTTCGTGGAAAGTAACCCGAGGGAACGAACAAGTTTAAAAGGTGATTCGAAAATATGAGCGACGAAGTTTTAAAAAAGATCGGAATTTCCTTCGGGAGAGTTTGCTTCGATTTACTACTTTCTTCTCTTCTATCGCTACATCTGTCCAGTCTGACCACTGTTATCGCGCTTAGGCCGTGCGTTCTCGTTTTTCTAATTACACCAAAATTTCTCTCTCTCTCTCTCACTTTCACTCTCCCTCTCTCTCACTCTCTCTCTCTCTCTCTCTCTCTCTCTCTCTCTCTCTCTCTCTCTCTCTCTCTCTCTCTCTCTCTCTCTCTCTCTCTCTCTCTCTCTCTCTCTCTCTCTCTCTCTCTCTCTCTCTCTCTCTCTCTCTCTCTCTCTCTCTCTCTCTCTCTCTCTCTCTCTCTCTCTCTCTCTCTCTCTCTCTCTCTCTCTCTCTCTCTCTCTCTCTCTCTCTCTCTCTCTCTCTCTCTCTCTCTCTCTCTCTCTCTCTCTCTCTCTCTCTCTCTCTCTCTCTCTCTCTCTCTCTCTCTCTCTCTCTCTCTCTCTCTCTCTCTCTCTCTCTCTCTCTCTCTCTCTCTCTCTCTCTCTCTCTCTCTCTCTCTCTCTCTCTCTCTCTCTCTCTCTCTCTCTCTCTCTCTCTCTCTCTCTCTCTCTCTCTCTCTCACTCTTCGTTCCCCTTTCCGTTCGTTTCTGTTTAATCCTTTCGTACTATTTTTAATCTCGCTAAAAGTATCGTTAGAAAAAGACGGTTATAAAAAAGCAATGAAAATATCCCGGATTGAAAATTTCGATTCGGTTAAACGTTTATTAAAAATCACGGTGTAAGTTATTTACGAATTGTCTCTCGTTCTCTACGCTTACGATACCGCGACGTTTCTCTTTTGCAACTATTTCGAGCTTGAACGATCATCGGGTGTCCAAATAATTGCCGACGAAAGGATTAAATCCTAATCTTCTGCTTCCTGCCATCGTTAATCGTGTGCGTTGTACGTACTCGAGTCATCTTGGTCTATTAAATCGGCGACTGAAACTGTAGAAAAATAAATTATTATATCGGTGATCGTGTTCGAGTATATAGTCTACGTTCCCGTGGAATTATCCTACGGACCACACGATACCTAATGTTTCACGAAGTCCGTAACAATTACGACTAAACGAATCTTGAGTACAAAATAAGACGAACTCGAAAAACTATCACGTGGGAAAGAGAAAGGAAATATCGTGAAACGATCCTCTTTTAATTAAGAAAGGCAGAAGAATTGTTTCAGATTGCCTTATTTTGATCTCAGAAGTCGTTTAATAGAGAGTAATGCCGGGGACTTGATGAAATGCCTTGCACGTTCAGAAGCGAATCGGGTCTAAGCTCCTATAAGAAATTTCACCGTCTTCGAATTGGCTTTTCCTCGTACAAATCGACGAACCTGCTCGCAGAAAAATACAGTAGAATCGAAACTATCGAGAAACTGTTTCCGTTCTAACGGACCTTGCTAGATAGATATTCGTAGTTCAAACATGACGAAAACATTCTGCTCTTGATCGTAATAAACAGTCAACCTGCTCTTTTCTGTCGTTACGACGTATTTAAATCGTAACGAGCTATTTTAAATACATTCAAACTCGATGATGCTTAATTTAACGACAGCTTTTAAAACCTTCAAATTACGCAGCATTTCATTTCCTCTTCTCGTATTCCACGTTCTCGGAGCACGTAGGTACTTGACATTATTTTTTACGTATTTATTCGTTGAAATTCTCCGAGTATATTTATACTAAACACGCGTGCAATCTTCCCTGCTCGTGTCACATTTTCGATGTTTCTTTTACCTTTTCCACTTTTTTAAAGTTCTTCTTTACAGTCCTTTTTTTTTAAACAATTCTACGAGAACAAAGCTCCAATAACAGACGAAGTATTTTTCTTGGAACTTCTCTACAAGATTTTTTGCAATATATAACAATTCCTTTACTTTCAATTTTCAATTATATAGAATGTACAACCCCCTTTCTTCGACTATCGATAGTATCTACGTATCGACTTGCAATTTTCCTATACAACAACTGTACCTGCGATTCGACTTATTAACTGTGTTTAATTACAACGCGTAATCTGGCCTATAATGTCCGGCAATATTTAATTATTGTAACAATTACACCGTAGACATACGAAATTCCATTTTAATCGATTAATTTTTATCCCTGGTCGAATCATTACGACGATTAAATTCTAAATTTCTCGAGAAAAAACACCGACAAAATTTTCCTCTATTACCGAGGAAATCGATGTAGGATGTTCCTTTTGGTGCGAAGACAAAGCGCTAGGCGCTCGATCACCGTGAAGTCACCTTCGAAGTCTACGATCTTCTTCGCGAGTATTATTGAACACGAAACAGAGCTGACAGAAAATTTTGTATTCTCGTCGTATCGCGACGATTCGGATCGAAATCGTAAGAAAGCACACAGTCGACAGCGTCGATGACCGAAAGAACGTATATTTAGAGGAAACGGCGATTCTCCGGAAGCCACGTTAGGAAAAAGACCTACCACTATGTAGTTGACCACGCCCACGCTCGTAATGCTTTCAATTATTCTTTTTTAATTAATCGCGTCTTGGAACGTGCTCGTCGCGGAATCTAGAAAAATAGAGTTGACTTGATTGCAAGAACCGTATCAGCGTATCTATCACAAGGATTACGAGCTAGACACTTTCTTAAGTTACATATCGATTCTCTATAGTGACGAGGATCGATCGATGTTCGATCGAATGGCATTTTCTTTCTTTCATCTTCGACTAACACTTATCCTAGATATGCGCGAATCGACCGGATTCTTTCCTAACTTTCTCGTTTCATTATCATTTGGAAACTTCTATATATTTCGTATGTCGTTTCGACGCGAGAAAGTTTGGACTTTTATTTTTTCGTTTCCATCGAACCGATTAGTCGAAACCAGCCAACTATCGACGAAGTTTACTATCTTTCTTCTCGATTCTACGTAAAATAGGAGTCCTTCGAAGGCCTACCACTAACTAAGACAATCCACGACGTCCACAATGAGAAAACGTATAGTACGATGTTGAAACAACACTTTCATTAATATCGATTAGTTTCGCTCTAAACGTACTTTGTTTCTTCCATTTGTACCCTGTTCTTCATCCTCAATGAACGATATAATCGTTATCAGCAGTAGACTAAGGTTGTGACAGCGGTAAGAATTTTTCTCCGGTGGCTGACTTTCTTTAAAGGCTGACCAGGCCTGGGCGCCTCTTCGATAAATAAAATCTCTCAAACAACCATCTTAATTACTTACAAAATAACCAAACAGTTTGTCGTATAAGTATCTTTCGCGTGAAACTTCTCGCCAAGGAATCAAGGTCGAAAATTGTGGTCGAAAAAGCAATCTAATCAGCCCAGTCCTCGATTTTCTTTCAAACTCTTCCGATCTCGTAGATCGTTCGTCTTTCGTCCGAGACCTCTCTGTCGTATCTTTGCAATTTTTCCTATTTCGTATCCGAACTTGAACATTTCGAGTAATCGACGTCTCGTCCTCTTTCATCGTCTCGATTTCGTTCGTCTCTTCGAAGATTATCGAGAGAGAGAGAGAGAGAGAGAGGAGCCTTGCTCGACGAAAGGTCTCTTCGTGAACGAAGAAGGGTTTTGCGTTGAAGTTTTTAGAGCCTTCGAGTATTAGCCTACTGATAGATGATCGGATGAGTGGGTTCGACTGGCAGGTCACTGTCCAAATTCAAGGACACGCCGTCCTTGGATACCAGGTAGTGGGTGAGCAGCTGACCTTTGCCCTTGACGAACACCAGGCCGCGTTGTTCGAAGCCGAAGCCAAACGGCTCCAGAATCCTCCGGGTCTCGTCTGTGACCTACGATTTTAATATTTAATATTTTGAATATAAATTATTTATCGAGAATTTCTACTAAAACTATTACTTCCATACCTGACGGAATAAGTATTTTCGAGTTATACGATTTTGCAAATATTTTACCTGGATGCAGCCCACTTTTCCAGTGCTTTCCATTCTAGACGCCACGTTCACGGTATTTCCCCAGATATCGTAATGAGGTTTCCTGGCGCCAATAACCCCAGCAGTCACAGGGCCGTGATTGATACCCATTTTGAGAACAAAGTGATTGAAGCTTTGCTCGTTGATGCTCGACAATGCTTTCTTCAACTCCAGGGCGAATTCGACGAGGGTGGACAAGTGACCCCACCGAGGAGCATCCTCGGACTCCTCTGAGTCTGTGATTCCGGATGCCGCCATGTATGTCGAGCCTATCGTCTTGATCTTGATGATGTCCTTGAATTTAGTTTGATCGAGGATCTAACGAAAGAAGAAACGGAAATGGAAAGTCGATAGAAAATTGATATATCGATTGCCATATTTAATCCCTTAAAAGTTCTGATCTAAGATCCCTATCAAATGTAGGAAAATATCTAAGGAAAGGTCCTTTTCGCTGTTCAATTGCTTTGTTATTTTTACAAATATAACCTTTTTGTACAAAATTATATCGCAGAATTTTGTCCTTTTTATCGAAAGCTTCTGTTTTCGTATTTACGATAACGCATAACGTTTCAGAAATAGAATTTTAAATCGAGGGGTCGTAGAAACTCGCCAACGATACTTACCGCATCGAAATCGGATATGACTTCGTTCAAGAACCTGAGACACTCGAGGCCCTGGTTATTGATGCTCTCTTCGCTGTAGAAATCGGCGAAGTTCGGCATACTAGCGAACAGAACACCCACTTCGGCGTAGCTTTGACTGTAGAGATCATCGTGGTGTCTCGCACTCGATAGAAAATAAGCAGCCACGTGCGGCGGAAGGATGTTGTAGATGAGGGCGCCGTTTCTGCGCGTCATGTCCGCCGCCCTTTCTCTCTGCGCCTCCACCTCCCTTCCTCGTAGGTACAACATCCTCCTCGACTTTTCCGCCTGCAAATCGATCGAATCCTCATCGTGCGAGTCGTCGAAACCGAGCTACTTTACCATTAACGTAACCTTTCATTTATTTTTCAACAGGGTTTGGTTCAAAGTTTAATAGTTTTATTGAAAATATTCATCGACGAATAATTTCGTGAAACACTTTTCCATTCGTTTTTTCTTTTTTCGTTTACCCTGCGAGAAGCAAGGGGAGATTTCTGGCTCGGTTTCATTTACGTTAAATGCAAACCGCGATTTTCCCCTCGTGAAAGACAGACGGGAACGAAGGATGCGCCCTCGACTGTCGGGACAAGTGCAGCCCTCGACTTTGATGAATCCGTTCGAGAGCTTCGTACGAAGGCTCGATTATTTATCGTCGCTCGAGGAGAAATTGAATTCTCCCTATCTCTACGTGGAACATTTTAATTTACCAAAACAATTTCGATAGAGCAAAGATTCGCTGATAGAACTGGCAGGATGAGAAGACGTTTGCAAAAAACAGAGAAAGTATCGTGTATTTCGATATTTCAAGTATATTGAATTATTTAGGCAGATCGAAATTTTTTAAAAATCTAAAGATAATACTTGATAATAATTGTATAATATGGTAATATACCTATCCACCATTTTTTTTTTCTTTTCGGTAATATTTCGCCGTTTGCAGAAATGAATTCTCTCAAGCAAGTCTTGCAAAGAAACGTTTTCTTTTTCTTTTAAGAGACAGCTTGTCCAACCTTGGTATTTCATTCGACGGAAATTTATGATAAATAATTCTTTCCCAATTCTATAAACAAGGATGTTACGATGTTTCCAAATTATCTGACATCTGATTTAAGTAACGTTATTGCATATATTACTTACATATCTGGACACGATGACCAGACAAGTAGCTACGATGAGAAGAGTGGCGGATAGGCAATATTTCGATGGAAGGGGGGTCGGTTCGAGGGTAGAAGCGTAATCCTCCCAGTCCAGCCTCGCATTGAGTAGACAGATGTTGATGAAACACTGGACGCCCGAGATACCGTACATTAAGTACGCCTTGCCTAGATAGCATATGTAGGTCGGCATCGAGGTCGCCACAAGTGTAAGCACACCGATGTACGAGTAGTAGGAAGGATATGGACACCTCGAAGACAGAGTTATGGTGGCGTTTAGGGGCGGAATAGTTTCCTCGATGACCACGCAGTTGAACTGTAAAATGGGACAGAGAAGTTAACAGCTCAGAAAAATAGCGTAAAATGGCTTTATTTTCTTTTCCTCTTGCTTTCCTGTTAATAATAGTTCAATGGCTACGTATTTATTCACTAAGACGTTTGTTAAGTATCAAAATTCTTTTGAATTATTCGTTAACTGGTTAACTATATATTAACACGTTAATACGATATTACGCTTTCCCGTTGCTATGGTACAAGCAAGTGGAACAACTATAAATCACTGTAGGAAATTAAAAGTTCTTTTACTTTTGAATGAAAATAATACGATCGTCTTAAATAATTTATCGAATAGATGTAGGTAGGTGTATGGACAACCAATAGAGTGTAGTTGTGATTATCGTTCCGGTTTATTTTGTATGTGTTTTATTTATGCTCAAGTTTATGTTTTGCGTAAGATCTGTAAGCGCAAGTCATCGTAAAACCGGAAGGAAAACGGAATGAAAGAAAAAAGATGTTAATTTGTTTGGTTGAATTAATAATAATAAATATACGTACCATATCGAGAATCAGAAAAATACCAAGGGAAAATGTCATCATAAGAGCCAAAGCTCTTCTCAGCCACATAGCCTTGATGGCACTGCCGAGACACGTGGCACCAGCCAAAACTACCGCGAATAGCACCACTATCCCGATACCGCCCCATGTGAAAGGTCCCCAGGGCTGAAACCTCCAAACTGGGGCGGCACAGATCATCACCAATGGCCCACCGAGCAATGACAAAGGGGAAAATGCTTCTTCGGCGTGGTGAAACGCAGACTCCACCTTCGAGTCCTTGAACCGCAAGGTCAACCAGTACGCGTGACCTTTCAAATGTGCTCCGCCAGCTATAATTAATATTATTTGCTTGTAAATAGAAAGATCTATGAAACGAATTTGACAGTAAATCATACAAAACACGTACATAAGATATCGATCGCAAAGTGAATCTTCTGTTAATTTTATTATCAATGAAAAATTGATGCTACATGTATCGATAACAACTTCTTTTACATAAATAGATTTCTGAGCAAAGAATTTTCTAGGCTGTGGCAGATTTATAGACCTTTTTTCAGGATGCTCTTTAATTTCCATTTTTAAACAAACTACACTTACCAAGACGTTTTACCTTCGAATAACAATTTAATCATTAATAATAATCAACGATCAAATACTTCAACTTCCTCACTTTTGTTATCCAGTTCCTTCCTCAGCCTCTGTCTAAATTCCTCCGAGTCCTCCTTATTGTTATTTCTTTCGTTTCCTGCGTCGATCGTCTTCCTGGCGTCCTCCGTGAGCGAGGCGATGCTCTTGGTGGCAGCTGGCTTGAAGGGTTTCAACGCCCGGACTATGAAGTATGTGACGATGCCCGCTTTCTGTAGTGCCTCTTCTCTGTCCTCGCCGTGCGCTGGCTCGACCTCGAACTCGCCATTCAGGAAGCTCAGCGTCGCGTTCGAGATGTGCACCCTCCTTCAAGCCATTACAATATCGTTCGTGTCGATCGTTCCTCGCTTACGAGCTTTTATCTCGCGAATCTGACTACAGGATTATTCGGCAAAGAGAAGAAAGGAAGGAAAATTTCGAGACGTTTGCGATTGGCAAAACGGTCCTGATTATCCAACGACGTGGGCGTGGCCATAAAATAGGACTGAAAGGAGAATTCACGTACCTATTCTGTATTCATGGTAATGTCGAAGGGCGTTCGAGCGTCTTTCGCAAACGATTCTCTGGCTGCAACTCGCCGTTACGTTATTGTTCTCGAGTGAATTGTAGTTCGTGTGAATAATAACAAGGTTACGGTACCGCCGGTTAAAATAGTTGGCCAAACTTGTATTTAACGTGAATTCTGGTTTATATTTTATCACAAAGTGGCATTAAAGATCGGAAAATTAAGAAAATATATTCGTGTTTTTTCCCTATGATCTTCGAATGGACGAAGTGAAATCGAAATGAAGAGATCGCTGTCGCGTTACGTGTTACGGAAAAGGAACGGAAGAATCGCGTGACAGGGAGGACCGAGACCAATGAGATTTCTAATATGTATTAGCCTGATGGGACAAAAGAAACAATTACAATGGCTGGGTAGACGATGCTTTTAAAGCACGACTATCGAGGGGCAGTTTTTTACCACGCGACTCGGGCATCTCACCCTTTAACACAGCTAAAATTAAAGTACGACAGGGCATCAAAAACTGCTTGCCAGGCGTTTCACCAGGTAATTAATATCAAAGATATACGGAGTGCGCTCATTACGTGTCCACCGACGTCAAGGACGCGTTTTATACGTCGTCGCATCGATATCGTTTAGCTCCCGAATCAGGCAGCTTCCTCGCGCCTCTCTTCTACTTTATCCCTTTTGAATTTCGGGGATTGACAAGGTCAAGAAGTCAGAACGTCGATACTGATATCGTTTCTTTCTTTTTTTTTTTTCTTTTTTAAAGGAATTTTCACCAAACGAGTATATAAAAGTCTATTATTGACATAATTCTATATTGAGAAGTATATTTAAATACTCCTCTATTTTGCAAACAAAAAACAGGCGCAATATAAATAAATCACCTAGATTACTTTTTTCCTTTCTTCGTAAAATTTAAACACCTTTGATAAATATTCTTTACGATAGTTCTTTTATTTGTAAAAAGACGTGTTCGAGTACTTGCTTCGCTTCCAAAGAAGAAAGAAGCCTACGCACGATTCGTTCGAATTTTCCTTGTGAAATTTAACTACACTCTGTTCAACTCCGACAAAATAATACTGAAATGTTTAGAGAAAGAAGAAAAGAGATTCTCACCCCGCCATTCCACTGCTCTCCATCTTGTTCGCGAGTTCGACATCCTTGCTGTACACATCGAATTGCCATTGTCTCTGTCCGAGGACACCGGCCAACACAGCACCAGTGTGTATACCCACCCTCATGTCGACAGGGCTATTGGTCTTTTGTTGCACGTACTTGATGGCGTCCACCATAGATAAGCCCATATAGACACAGAGAACAGCGTGGTCTGGTCTTTCCACGGGTGCTCCACTTATGCAGTAGTAACAGTCGCCGAGGATCTTTATTCGCAGCTGCTCGTATCTAAAGGTTTTCGAAATATCATTGTGCGTGAAAATAATGCAACTTAAGGTATATATTACGATATAATAGAACTCACGGTACGATAGTTGAATGTAAAATCCACGGTATAATTTAAAGTATAGTAGTTGAATTTATAGCGTAAAGGCAAAGTTTATAAGATATAAGAAGAGAATACAAAGTGCAAAAGTAAAATTTTCCAAGTAAATAACAGTGAAAGTTGAACTGGCTATCGATACGAAAATAGGCTTTTAATTGCCAAGCTTTCATCTTTTAAAGGTGAAGTTAATTGAAGAATTTCTAATTGAAATAAAACACGAGTAGATAAAAATTGAAATTCTCCGAGCAAGAAAATGCTCGAGAATCGTCGAAAGTTTGATGCACGATGGATTACGCGTAATCCGCTCTATATATTGATTAAGCTACCAGGAATTCGTGATTGAAGCGTTCGCATAGAAATGCAGTTGAGTGGCGGGAATTTCGATTTAGGAAAGTAAGGAAGGAGGATTTAATTTTTCACTGGATCTGAAGCCGCTATTTGGCAAATGAGAGGAAAGTACGTGTCAAGGAGCGTCTTAAGCGAAGGATGTTCCGCTGAAATTATACATTGACCTGTATCACTACCGATGCTGCAAGGGCTAAATCATCTATCTTCTGTAAACCCAGATTTAACCGATTTTAACCAGAGATAATCGACTTTTATATTTTCTATACTTCCATTTCCAGAGATTGGATCTCGATATTATCAAACCTACGATTTCGATGGTTCTCGCTAACGTTACGTTTTCGTCCCTTTTCCACGACTTTAATCCTCGTGCTCTTTCTTACAGAGGATTTCTGTAAATTAATTAAACAGAATATAAAAACACGGTGTAGAGTGGCTCGGGAAAGTATTTGAATATTCATAGAAACGGTCCGTGAATGTATTGTGTACGCTTTACAAGACGCTTTGGAATTTCATTAGCATCGTAACGAAACACAATTGCACACAATGCAAATGTATTTTGCAGAAATTACAACAACGCTTGAACGATCAATCTATTATTCTATATTAATATGTCTTAATATTTAATGACAACGAATATTTATGATCAGCGCTATAGAGATGCATCGATAGAAAATTTTCATTTATAGTAAATGCTGAAATAATTTCACGAATCATTGTATTTCCGATAATCCTCTTGCGACGTTCGAACGTGGACGGTTCGATAGAGTGAAATATCACGCGATAGAAATTCGTTAATGATACACCACTTTGTCCTCAGATGTATCGATTGTCGGAGACGCCCAGGTGAAGGACTCGCGAGTCTACCTCTCTTCGAGAACGATCGAGAAAACGAAGAAGAGACTGGCCAGAATTTTCCGATAAAGTCAATTTCGCGGCTGGCAATTTCAGGATTTTCATTATTCTCCGTATACGAAAGAAAGAGAGAGGAGAGAAAAGTGGAATGGAGCTCGTGAAAGCGTTTCGCGTTCGTTCTAACCGGGTCACAGCCGAGTGGACTGTAAACGAACGAATTCTTTCGCGGTGTCGATAGCTTCGCTGTCGATTAATTTGATCGTGCGTCGCGCCGTTTATCGACAACTGGTCGATTCGAGGCATGTACCGTTGACAAAAGCAACGTGCGTTTCCTTTGAACTTTATATTCGCGAAAATCCCGGTAATCGGGTACAGATTTATTTCGTGATTTCTTTGAATGCGTTGTCGAATGCCAGTTGCTTGATAATCTCGCTTAAAATTTGTTCTCTCTACATGTATTGTATTAAAACTTGTACTTTGACAATTGTAGCAACAATTCGCGTACCAACTTCTTAGATCTACTCAAAAAATTTGTCCAAATCGAACTAATAATAATCAGTCCTATCGATTCTAATTCTAACAAAAATTCGTGCATCGCTCCTTAGGCTCTGTCGAACGATTTTTCCAAAACTGAATCGCTTACCTTTCACTGAGTTGATCGAATCTAGCAAATAGCTCGTTGAGAATCTTCACTAGTTCGCTAGCGCTGTACGTGGAGGAAATCGCAGTAAAACCAACAATGTCCGCATACAGAATCGAGACATTCTCATGCCTGGACATGTAAATCTTCTTGAACTGCGTATCCAGCGAGGCGCCTAGGTCCTGTCGCATCATTACAGCCACGTGTTCCGGAAGCACGCTAAGCAGCAGCCTTTCCTGCTCGGCGCTTTGTTCCTCGATCACCAGTTGTACTTCCAGGCTCTGTCTGGTTTCTAAAAAGGCTCTACGTTGTTGAAACTCGGTCAGAGAGTAACTGGAAGCACCCAGAAGCATGGCGCCTATGGATAGCGTCACTGTCAGCACCTGGAAGAAACATTTTGCAAGAATTCTAGAACATTTAATTTTTAAAAATCGCTTTAAACACGTTGATGGTTATACGGAATACGATCATTGCGGTTCGATTTGTTCATAAAATTGTATTTAAAACACGTCGTGTCAAAAGGAAATGTTCAGATCGAATTATAATAAAACATACGACGAACGCTATTTTCAACGTTAATAGCAGTTTTATAAATTTGCGTATTGGCAGTCGATTGATAATAATTTCTGAGAAATCAATCGATTAAGTTAAATTGTACGCTATTTAACCGCATAGGCTGTCCCTTAATCCGCGATTTGATTCGAAACATCATAGTTCGAGACAGAAATTGTACGAAGCAATTTTACGAATTTGCATTTGACGTGCGATTTGACGTGTTTCAGTCCCGAAAATCACTGAAATCTGCATCATTGAGTGTATCGATAAGTTAATTTCATTGAACACGTGGTAAATTATCTGATGTGTTTAAATCTGCATTGCTACCATTTTTCTGTCACTTTTATATTCTACGTAGAATAGTTAATTGACAGCAACATGGTAGAAAAATATTTATTACAAAAATTATTAATACGTGTATAAAACGAATATATATACATACTAATACAAGATAACTAATTTTTAACGTTTTTTTAGCCACAGCTGTATCTGATTTTTAGAAGAAGAATACATGTGTACCACTTTTTCACTGAACTCCTCGATTGATTCCATCGAACAAATTAATCCACCTTAATCCACCCAGTGAAAAAAGACATATAGAACGCCCTCAAAGCTCTCAATTCCATTGCTCTCGACCTTTTTGTATTCACCGATAAATTATTCCCTCTTGTTAGGAATGCCTTTCATCGATTCCAGGTTAACCACGATTCCCAATTGCAACGCATCGGAACAATTAATACGAGAGATATTTCTACCCACCCCATTTCGTTCCGCGTTCCTAAATACCGAACGAAAAACGTCGCTGAATACAGCAAACCAACGGATCGATAATCCATTTTTGTTCACTTCGCATCGGCTCGGAGAATGCTTTCAAATACGTTCACGTGTTCCAGTTGACTGGTCGAAATCGCTGCAACACCTGTATCGCTTGTCATACCTCGGTGCTGTTTCTAATTTTCCGCATTCTACATGGAAAACTACAGAACGGAAGAATTCTTATTCATCCGGTACCGGCTTTGTCCGTTCGTGTGTCCCCGATGACAATTGGAAAATCGTAATTGAACGTTCCACAGCGGAGAAATTAGCACAGGCAACACTTTCGTCGTTATCGCTTTTATAGACCAATAACTTCGTTGAATATTATTTAGTAATATTTGCGTTGTAAACATTTCTTAGTAGATCTTCTCTTCTCGTTTTCTCTAAATTTCTGCAACTATTTTCTGTGATTTCTTCGATAGTTTCTATGATCTATCAAATCTTTGCGATTGTTCTATGGTAATTTCTGCGTAAATCTCCTCGACTTGTACCTTTTATCAATTAGTTAAAAAATAAGTTTTAGAATATCGTTGATCGTTACTTTCTCGTATAATAATTTACGTCCCATGGATAAATCCATCGTCCTTTAACTCGAATCCTTTAACAAATCCTTTAACAACGACATTTAACGCAACCCATTTTGTACCTGCTTGTTACTCGATGAAAGGGTTGACAGCTCCTTAATTAACCCTGATAAAGGGTTCATTGAACAACAATCAACGATCATTGCAATCGTTGGTGGAATAGATGGAGCCGGTGATTTCCGTGATCGAGCCGATGGCTTTCAAAGAAACGTTCCTGCCATTGAAAACCGATCGTATGTCGTGCATGGAAAGGCAGCATGTCGCGTCATTGCACATCTCTCTGTCTCCAGTTTTCTCTCTCTCTCTCTCTCTCTCTCTTTCTTCTCTTCTCTTTCTCTCTCTATTTTAAACAACCATTGACTGAACTCTACTCGACTGTTACTAACGATAGAACCACGTGCACGACTGGAACTTTCGCTTTCGTGGTCGTTCTTGTTTAGGAAAATTTGTAACAGAGTTCCTATCCACTGTTTCGTCACGGTTCACTACAAATTTGTAGACCGCCAACCCCGTTATTCCGAACGATAATAAGTGAAAAACGGATACAAATCGTCAGGATGGATATTTTCCTTCTTTGAGAATTAATTTTCTAATATTCAGAGGTTCTGAAGAATTTTAACGTTTGCTTCGACTGTACGTGCTATTGGTTGGTCATCTGATAAATTGGTAGGTTGATAAATATGTATAATAAGGGAAAACTGTTGCATAAAGATTCCACTGATTTGCAGAAGGAAGACGATAACCGAGTCTCGTTACACCGCAAAATTCTCGTAAATTTCAAAACGCTACGCATAGAAAGTTGATTACTTTTTATGCGAAACACTGCAGACTTTCACGAAGGCCTGAACGCAAGCTGACGTCGACGTTGCGTCTCATTTTAGCGAACGATTTTCCAGCTCGTGACGGTAGAACGTTCGGTAAATTTACCCCGGGGCATAATTTCCGACCTCGGAACTGCGAATTAAAGCAACATATACGAGCCACGAAGAAAAATGAAGCTAATTCAACAGGGTTGGAATATAGATGCCCGACAAACACAAAAATTCATAAATTCTATCCGTGCAACCCTAATTCACTCTGTGTACAAACTCACTCCTTCCACGCATCGATCATCGTGTCACGCGACAAAGAAAGTAATTATTTTCAAACTAGTCGCGAGTATAATCTCGTCGTCGAAACGTTCGTGTAATGATTTACGTTTGCATCGGTTGTACGAAAGAATTTGCGTTATTTTCAAAAGTTTCAATGAAACACCTTAAACTTCATTTTCATATATGTCGGAGTTACATTAAAGTTAGGGTTAGGGGCGTGAAACGAATCTTCATTTGGATTACACATTGTCGTTATGCAATAGAGGAGACATTGACTGGTGCAAATACGATTATTATAAAATTGGACGAGTAACCGTGGTAATACATACGTATATATATACAGGGTGGTTGGTAACTAGCGGTACAAGCGGAAAGGGGGTGATTCTATGCGAAAAAAGAAGTCGAAAATATAGAATAACAATTTTTTTTTTAATATATATACGGGGTGGTTGGTAACTAGTGGGACAAGCGGAAAGGGGGTGATTCTATGCGAAAAAAGAAGTCGAAAATATAGAATAACAATTTTTTTTTTAATTTTTCCATCGGGACAACGATCTGCAGTGAGATCCGTTATAACTTTTTTTTTTAATTTTTATTCTATATTTTTGACTTCTTCTTTCGCGTAGAATCACCCTCTTTCCTCTCGTACCACCAGTTACCAACCACCCTGTATATATGTGTCTATGAATTATTCAGGAGTCAGTCTCGTTAGCTGCAGTTTCTGAAATTTTTCTTTAATAATTCGCTTTTCCACAAGGCGGGCCGAAGAATTTGCGTTGCCAATTCTCTCACGTTCATTAGCGAGCCTCATCGAAGCTCGATTAAACGACGTTTCGATCATCGAGTCCCTGAATTCGAGCGTTCACTCCGGCGATGACGGATCAGAAACGCGAAGTTTAATTACGAACTTCCCTTGTCCGTTCGCCCCTTTCACGGAGGAACGTAGCAGCTTTAATTAGCGACCTGGCTAAACTGGACGCCGCCTATATTCGTAGAGCAGACTGATTAAAAACTCGGGAACGGTGGCCTTGTTCGTTGAAACGGTAACTGTGCTTCTTCCCTGAGACAATTAAGCAGGGTGTCGTGTTCTTAACAGTTTCCGTATATCTTAGCTGTGGTACCCTTCTCTTCTTCGTTTTCATATTTTTAATATTTGCATATGTAGGTAAACGCGGCCCTTCCAACGATTCGATAAAATATGAATGAAAATGCCTTTGCGAAACCGGTAACACGCATGATCTAAGATTATTACATTTAAATGTTAAGCATCGTATTTCCGTTAAAGGTAAAATAAAATGTCGTGTTTAGATTAAAGCGTGAGAAGCTAGAATCTTTCAATTAACTTCTCGTTGATAGACTGTCCAGGTTGATGGAGAATGGTAAGAGAGTGGTATCTCCGAGATTACAGTTATTTATTACCAGGAACAAATTGTCCCATAAAAATTGACAGCGAGCGAAAATGGCTTCCTATAAATTGGTGGAGCTGGGAACGTAATCAACTGGAGTGTTAACTTGTTGCACGACCGGTATGCTTCGCAAATTTTCTTTCTCAATTTGTTCCATTAATTTTTCCCATTTCGATCTGCCGTTTCTCCGAAAGACTTTATTTTAAACCAAACGAAAAATCATCCAAGCCAAACCGATTCTATTCCGACGGTGATCGCTCGATATTACGTTGAAACACGAAATTACATTTTATATCGGCTAATACGACCGGGGATGCTGATTAAAAAATAAAACAAGCTATCTAATCCAAAGATCCGTTATTTTAATCGACGTCGTAACGCGGCGAGTTCTATAAATTCTACGGGCTTCGTCTAAAATTAGAATAAAAACCCTGTAAAATCACGAAGCTCCTATAAAATAATTATTTCAACGAAATGCGTATCGCGTAAGCTAAAAGCGATTAACAAAAAATAAAAGGGAAAAACACTTCTGCGAACGTCCACCCACGGCTATCGACAACAGCAACGAGCGAGAGAAAAATGCTCTATTTAAAATTCGAACTGCCGCAGACCGCAAACTTACCAATCCCTTCCAACCGTGTAGCTTGGTATTTTCAAAAATAGCAAGCCAGTCCCGGGTGTATCGCGAACTCCGGTTCCATTCAACGTTCCATGCAGGGGCGTTCGAATAGAAAATAATCGAGGGCTTAGCCGCTCGAACGTGGAAAAGTTGTCACGCGCGCCGGCCACGGCTATTTTACAATGGATCGTTGGAGGCGCACGACCAGCCTCGCTGTGTATCGTTGCGTATCGATCGATCGAAACACGTAAGAAGCCAGCGGCAGCGACCACACGGCAAATTAGTTCGAGCGGATTGAACCGCGGCAACAGTTGTTTTCGTGAGGTCACGAGGCACGGTTCGATCATTAAATTACACGAAACCCGGGTGAAAATAAGCGAGCAACTTTTCGCAAGGTTGTTCGTCTTCGAGACACTCGATAGAGTCGAGTGAAATCGAAACGAACGAACGATACCGTGAAATATCGCGATTTCGAAGGAAGACGCTGGTTAGAGCCGCGGTTGTGGTCTAATTGCCACGATGGGAAACTCGAGAGCGTAAGTCAATTAAAAAGGCTGACAACGGGGATAATAGAGACACTCGTTCAACGGATAATCGATCACTCGAGTGAGGTTCAATCGCTGAGAATATAAAACGTCCTAATCCCAGCGGCTGCTATTGCTTCTTTGTTTAGCTCGGATAGCACGAAGTTCCGCTTAAGCTCGTAAATTTATTGCTCTGCTCGAGTCGATAAAGTATTATAAATTATCGGACTTTTTGTTTTTGATCATGCACGTTTGATTAATCTAGATAAGGTATCGAGTAGGTATAGGATAGTCGTATTATACATAGAGCCTTAAATTTACACCCCCAATTCGACCCGTCGCCAAAGCCTCGCCCCAAATACCCAACAGTTTCTCTTCTATCGGAGAAACATCAAGGTACGAACGTGAAGCAACACCTACCAAAACATCGATGGGTATCTGTGCAGGTGCTTTGGAGAGTCCAACGACGGAGATGATGTACACCAGTGCGGTGCTAATGGCAAGGAGGACGCAGAGGGGCAGTCTGAGGGGTAAAGTGGCGAACAGCAGGTAGAGCATGAGCAACAGCCAGCCTAGTCCGTCCCTAGGCGTGACCTCGGTGGACTTGAGGAACAGCTGAGTAAGTAGCTGTGCGGTTGACAGGTTCCAGGCCACGTGTGGAATCACCGACCAAAGCGCATCTTTCGCTCTAGGATTGTGTTTAGCCCAGGCCAGCAGGCCCAGATTCAATCCCAAGAAGACGGCGGTTAAGCTTCGAGTCGATAGCTCCTGACCAGGCGTGATCAACGAGTGAGCTGCGTAGAGGAGCGCCGAAAACAGGAAGTACTCGAGGCCACCCCGCCTCTGTTGAAGGGAGGAGGCGCGATATAGCGTCTCTAACTTGGCGCTGCTGAAGCTCGTCCGCAGCAGGTTCGACGGCCTGCCCGAGCTCAGGTAGGAATCCTCGTTCGAGGTCTCTTGACTTCGTAACATGGCGCTGCTATCTCTCTCTCGCCCTCTCACACTCTCTCTCTCTCACTCACTCTCTATCCGCTTCTCTTCGTTTCACATACTTTCGGTTGGGGCACGCGTTACACGCATGGAAACTTGGTCGGGTGACTTGGAACGCGATACCGTCGCAGGAACATCGTTGTCCGATGCGTTAAACCAACTTCGATCAGACGAATTTCAGTCTCGCGTTTCGTTTTTTCGTTCGCGGACAGACCCAACCTTGGATGTGGGTTTCTCGGTGAACCGCGTTTACGTCGCCTAAGTACACGCTTTTCCTCGATCAAGTTGGATGCTGACAGCGAGGATACCGGACTGCAGGGTATCCGTTGTACCGCAACCCTCGTGGCGATCGTTGCTCGCCACCAGGACACACACGCCTCGTTTTGCACTCTCACGCACTCTCACACACACGGGCGTTTTCGGATGCAGCTGCACCCGCGCGCGGGGTACTGGCCGGGTTACTACTGCCGGTGCTCTTTCTTCTCTCCTCGGAGGGAAGCGGACCGCCACTCTCTCCATCCGTCTCCGCTCCTTGCCGCTTCTACCGCCTCCGTTCACCTCCTCGCCCTCGTTACCGTCCAGGCTTGCGCCATACGACCCCCGACAGCTCCGACCCTCCA